AGAAGACTATTTTATATAAATCAAATTTTGACTTGAGAAAAGTGAAGTTCTATACCACACCAAGACAAATATTACCAATAGATTCCTCTCAATTATTCCATAAGTTGAGGAAATTGCTCTACAGCTACGTCATTGGTTCCTAACATATAAGTACAGCACTTCAGTCTGCATTTTCAACACTCTTCAAACCATACAGAATCCAAAATTTAGTTTTAAACACAAATAAAATAAAATCTCATTCAAATGTTTTGGTATGAGACCTAGTTCTCTTGCATTTCTTCTAAGATGAAGCCATCAAACGTCAACATTTCTAAATACTTTAATCTCTTTTCACTTGGGACCTCTACAGAATTTATTAAATGGAAACAACTCATTTTGATAAAAACTATTGAGTTCACACAACATCACTTTTCATTTTTTTGGCACAGAATCAGCTGCTGTTTGTACTTTTCCTATAGAGAACTATAATTTCAATAATATATGGCAAAGCTTAACCTCAGCAAAATTATGAAGGATGCCAGAATACCTCCTAACACTGTCTCAAAATTCCACTTTCACAGCACTATAACTTCATGCCACATTTCACATCCTAGCAAGGGTTCTTAGGTGACATGGAGCATCATGTTGGCACAAAGCAAGTGCAGTTCATGCAGCATCAGCTGCCCCCAGCACCACCTGATATGTTTACATGTGCAGCAACGTGGAGCAACACTCTGCAGAGACACACGAAGGCTCTGATTTCTATCCAAACACAGTTACACCTCTCTGCAGGCATTACTGCACTGGTCACTCTCAAGTTGTGCTGTTACTTCTTTTTTTCATCTCTTTTAACAGATTCCACCTATTGTAATTGCATTCCCAAAGACAGAATGGGACTCAGTCCCTGAGAGTGCGCTGGACTCATGGGGGTGACCCAACATACACATGTGATGTCTTAGTATATATGATCCATGGGGTGCCCCAAATTCTGAAAACATGCATTAAACTGCTTTGGCTTTTGGCTATAATCAACCTACAAACACAATAGGTTTTGGCTAACTAAAGAAAAGACAAAATATTTACTTCGCTGAAAGAGAAATGTCAGCTAAATAAGGGCAATGAAGGCACCCAGGTGTCTGCCTGCCAGAGACAGTGTGTGTAGATTGAAAGGAATGCCTAAGATGGCATGATAAGAGGATGACAAAGATTTTACTCATTAATGAAATATAACTGAGAATTAGGTCTGCATCTCTACAGAACTCCTATCAGTTTCCTCACAGCTGACCAGCAGGAAAACAATTTCATTCCAGATATGAATAGCTAAGCCTGTCAAAAATTGCATTTTTCATTCTATCTTCTTCTGTAAAGAAAGCCATCTTTTCCACATGTGGAACTCAGGACCTGAACGTTACAACACAAACTCATTCTAACCCATCAAATTTTAGCTTCACAATTGATAGTTTGACTCAAGAATGCAGGGTATACCTTTAGATGGTTTTGGGGCACAGGAAATGTACAGGAACCAGAAATAAAATAAATTCTAATTTATCTTGCTACTCTACTCCTCAGAATCTTGTCATTTGCTGAAGTCTTAAGTAAAAGCTACCTTATGAAAAATTACTTTTGTGTTATGCTCTTTACCCATAAAACAAGTGTTCCTACCTGAAAAGGAATACAGACAGAGTAGAAACTACATTTCTGTATCTATTTTCAGTGTCAAGTTCTTAGCACTATGAAATAACAAGAAACAATATAAATATTATTTGAAAAGGCATTTTAGACTGACCTTATAAGGCATGTATTGAAAGTCTGATACACAGTCCTGAAAACAGTTATGATGACCTACTTTCAGAAAAACTTCTGACATAGATTTAGTTATAAAATATGAATGAAGAAAACCACTGAAGTAAAACTGTACTTTACAAAACACTTGAAAAAAGCTTCAGAGATACAAATAGACATTTCTACACTGATTTCCATTCCTTCTGATATTTGTTATCTTCTGATATTTGTATGCTTTTTCAAGCCTGATATGTAAGGAAATACTTAGCCAGTCCATTGAACAATATATCTTCAGAAAGTACCTAAGAAAGTTTTCCATACTTAATCCAGTTTCTACATGGCACCAGTGCCCTGACATCTGAATATCTCCTGCCTCTCAGTTCCAGAAAACTGTGCTTACAAGACACCTAGAGGAAATTAGTGTTTTGGTTTCAGATTGTACCAATACATGATTCCTTGTGCAGGCACCCATCATCCGAGAAAAGGAATATGATGAGACAAGCCAGAGAAATTTATAAAGTTAATAACCTTTATAAATTAATAACCTTATTTGCAGGTTTTAATCCTCTGGTATCAATGTACAATGTTATTGTCCAGCATTTTCTGTAAGATGTACCAATGGATGGAAACAGAACACTTTGGTTTGGAAGGAACATTAAACTCCTTCTAGCTACAACCCCCCTGCAGGAGGGGCAGAGACACCTTCCACTTGGGTTGCTCAGAGCCCCATCTAACCTTGCCTCTAACATTTCCAGGGATGGGGCATCCACAGGGCAACCTCTTCTGGTGTCACACCATTTTCATTGTGAGGGATCTGAAGACATGCAAGGTATTTCTTCATGGTGTGACGTCACCCTCACCAATCCAACGAGCCATCACATTGTGTGTCACTGTAGACACAGCACCATGCACACAGCTCCTCCAGGGCCTGACATGCAGCCACAGGCCTGCTCACCACAACCAGCAATGCGTATGTGACCCAGCTATTGAGAGGTGCTTGTGCTGTCCTGTAGCAGCAGCCACATGCGGCCACCAAACAGGGCCTCTTGGAGATGTTTGTCCAATAGAGCAGCAGGAGCAGGTGTGCAGTAACAGCTCCACAAAACCACCCTTTCCCATACCTGTATCCCCATACCCAGCCAACACGAGGGGCTTTTCCAGGAGACGGCAGCAGGAGCTGCTCTGGCTGCTCTGGTCGTGGCCAGGCACAGGCCAGTCCTGGGGAGCAGCCAAGGGACAGAGGCTGCCAGCCAGAGCCATGCCAGCTCCCCAGCTCCTGCTGCTCCTCTAACAGCACCGACTTACAGCTCCTCACCCAAGAGTTTGTCTCAACACCCTATTCACGGTCAGTGGGTCTAAAGACTTTGAGAACTCTTTGAGACAGTTATATTTCACATTTGTCCCTGACTGGAGGATCTAATCAATCACTGGGCAACTGATTGGATATAACAGAGAGAAAAACTTCAGCTTAAAAGTACCAAATAACAAAGACACCATGGTATTTAAATCAGATCTAGACCAGACACACAATACAGACTCTCTCTAGTGCTGAGACATACTTAAGCAACGTACAAAGAGCTGACAGCCTTCATTTAATAGCTCTTATGGCAAGAGAGACCAGATTAGATAATGAAAAGTAATGTAGTGCATTACATATTATTTGATATTCAAATGATAATCTATACAGTTACATAGCTCTGTACTATCACAAGGAAGAAATTTAGACTTCCAGGTAAGCAAGTGATTAATTTTTTTTCTTGTCTAACCAGGCACTTCACAGATTTGTCTAAAGGTGACTTCATCTTTTATCTGTCATTTATTTCAAAGAAAATAGAAATGTACATGGACCTGTCCTTTCCATAACCTGCAAGTGAACTGATAAAACATAAGTCTGCTGCAAAGACTTGCCTATTGATGGATCATCAGCGTCTGCATGATATTCAGGGCTTTCTCTACAGACATTCTTTCCCCTCTTCTTCATTCCCTCCTGTTCATACTGCATTCAATAAGTCACACAGTCAAGCTTCCCACTCTCTCCCACATTGTTACCTTTCCTTCTTTCCTTTCTTTTTCAGTTCTACTCTTTACAGTACTTGAAATCCTGCCCACACTTCCCAAAAGTTTACTTGAAAAATTTACCACAGTTTCTGACAGTACAAATCATTGTTTTGCTCCATTTTGTTGTATATTAAAACTCTTATCACTTTGGTTTGGAAAGAACTGAGAAATCTCTTATCTATGTTTGAGCGGTGGTTAGCACAATGGAGACCTTCAGATGGTACTTCACACATCAGGGCACTGTAAACTTATGTTGAACTGTATGAAAACATCACAACAATTTTTTCTTAAATACTGAGAATACAACAAATCTTCTGTATATACCTTGAAATGTATACTTTTTATATATATGCATACTTATATAAATTGCTTAAATACTTCTTTTATATGAATGTTATTCAAACACAAGTAATTTTTTTCCATGTAAAATACACTTGTCCTATACAGTGTCATTATTTGACATTGAGCTTTTCAGAGTGCATTATATGGATTTTCCCCAGAATAGAAAGAAATAGAAAAAAAAGAGTCAGATTTTAAATGCTTTAGGCATCAAAGTAGAAAAACTCTCCATTTTCCTAGGGAGCACATTGAAGTATCCAATTTGAATTAAGAGAAACAGAAATGAGGAAAATTTCTATGAATGGCGAATACACTTGTAGGCTGAAAAGAAAGTAATTAAAACACAATAAAATATTTTCACTGAAGTAACATAACATATAATTTTGCTCAGGAAAATTTCCTTGTTTCAAAATAAGGTTGCATATTTAATGGTGGAAAAATGTCGTGTTGAAATACACAAACGCTATCTGTGACAAAACCAAAGGCATCTTGCAGCATTTCAGCGACCCTTCAGAAACTTCAGTAAGGAATTCCCTCAAATGAAAGTACAGCTCATGTCGTTTCCTGAGAAGCTGAAAAGTAAGGAATTAGTGTATTAAGCAGGTTCCAGCAAGCAGAAGATAAAAGCTTCAGTCCAACCTGAAAAGGATCTTTGCTTAAAAAAAAAAAAGGTTTGGTAAATGTTCAGAGGAAAAAAGATAATTGACCATTTTCTTCATTCCATAGAATATTGCTGATGAGGCAACTCCAACAGGGTTTTCAAATGATTAAACTGTAAATACATAAGTATTACATACATTTAACTGATAATTTGAGAGAGAGAAAAACAATCTAGTTCCTACCAGTCTGGCTGAGTTGTGACGTGCTCCGGCTCTTTCTCGACAGCCCCACGATGGCGACCATCTTCGCGCCAATGCTGGAGCGCCTCTTTTTGCTGCCACCACCAACAGTGCCCACTGCCGTGTCTGACTGGCTGCCGTCGTTCTTCTCCAGCGTGTACATCTCCCCGCTGATGCTGGTGCTCTTAGTCATGTTCTTTCCTGAGATGGCCATCTGTCTGCTTTGCATTTTGGATGTAAAGACACTGTCAGCCAGTTGACGGATAAACAGTGCAGACAAAGAGTAAAAAGGGGAAGACAGAAAAGGACAGGTTTCAGATGGAAGGTTTTGGGAGACTAGAGGGTAAAAGCAGCTAATCACACAGGTAGGGTTTGGTTTTAAGAGGTAAAAGGAGAAACTTTAATTCTAGGGTCTTGATTGGTCCACCGTAAAAGTACTTGACTCATCAAAATTGTGTTTTAAATAATAAGCTCTTATTTACTGATTGACTTAAAACTTATTACCAGCAAAAGCATACCAAAGAATTAATGCATCCATATATCATATAAACACTTATTGTTTGGAAAATTGAAGTTCTGCCCTCAGTGCTGTGCGCCTCTTCTTCTCACATATATACTTTCAGGTGTCCCAAGGGAACCTGATCTACCAGTGGTCCAGGATAAGAGACCTTTCCTTTCCTCAGAAATGGCATTCTACACTGATGACAATATCACTTATCCAAATTTTGCTCTGACATCTAAATAGTAGATATCTGAAAAATTAACCAGAACTGGAAGCTATGGGGTCCATGTAGGCCTGAAAATTTATAGAGAATTTTCTATTTCAATGAAGTTCTTGCACAGAACTTAGACCTTTATTATTCTTTTCAGTACAGTGTTTCTTACAAAAAAGTTCCCATGAGATGCCATTTTAAACAATCCACAAAACTGTGGAATATTTCTGGAACCCAGAGGAAATGATTTTTTTTTTTAAATCACCAATACATAAAGGCTAAAATGAATATTTTTGCTTCTTAAACAGATTTTCAAATACATGCAAAAGCTGTTGCTAGAGCTTTAGTGCTCAGCAAATGTCTCTAGAGCAAATTTTTCTGAGTGTAGAAAAAAATGTGTACTCCTTTTCCCCTACCTATCAGTAAGGCCTGAAATTGATTTCATAAAAGGAAGGCATTATTGTTTCTTTATGAAGATTTTGCAATACATATTCTGCCAGTAACTTAACTATGGAATTAATGCAGTGCACTCAAAAGCAAATGAAGACTTACAGCTTACCCACAACCCAGAGGGAAAGATAAGAGCTGGTTCATACAGAAGTAGACATTGAAAAATACTGAGTGTACTTCTCAGGGAAGTTACAAGGGAAAATATAAATGAGAGTTTGGATCAGCAGATGGAGAGGTACAAAACAAAACTCAGAGAGCCATAATGGCCTTGCCTGGGCACACAAGCACAAAAGACTGAACGAAGTGGTAACCTGAAAGGTTTTTCCTTCAGCTCTCTTTGTTGTTATGTGTTAGTACTCACTGACTCTCAGTACATTTATCACCAAGGGAGGAGTGGATATGGGCACACAAGCACAAAAGACTGAACGAAGTGGTAACCTGAAAGTTTTTTCCTTCAGTTCTCTTTGTTGTTACGTGTTAGTACACACTGACTCTCATTAGAACATTTATCAACCAGGGAGGATTGGGATCGGATGTGGGTAAAGAGGAAGGCAGGGAAATAGTAAAAGAGAATTTGTATTTCTGTGTCTTATTAACATTATGTTAACTTACATGTCAGATGATAACATCACATGCTGTATTTTTTATTAACTAAAACCTCTAAGAATTCAGTCAAAGAAAACAGATGACACAGAAAACAGTTCTCAGTTTCAATGTTATCTTGCGTGTAAAAATACTAGAGGTGTAGGAAAAACATGGCTGTGAAGAGCTAGTATCTTCAACTTTATCTTAAGCAAAGTTTTACTAAGAATCAGAAAATTCGAGCTCCTTATCCAGTAATGCTATTTTTAATCCAAGTTCTCAAAGGAAATATGATTGATGTGTGCTTTTAGTCATGTGTCTCTCTTTTCAGTATTTTTAAAATCAGATCAAATTTGACAGAGCAGTAGGAAACTAAAGCTATTTAGTTTCTAAAACTGTTTGGAAAACAGATCCCTGGAGAGAGATCTTATGCATGCCTCTTTGGGGAAAGATTGCAGGAGAAGTCATAGAATCTCTCCTAGTGGAAGCTCATTTGCAGATACAGGCTGGTGGGGGAAGTAAGTTTTTCAGTGCTTGCAGAAGAACCTATTTCAATGATCCATTTTTCAAAAATAATACCCAGAGAATCAGTGAGTTCCTATCCTATAGAAAACAGTAATTAATGCATTGTTTTATAAGTGATATTACCATTCAATAAAGGTCCTATGTCATCAGTGGAAACAGAAATATTTTGCATTTTAATATAAAAATTACACAGAAGAGAGAGTCACCATTTCCTGAGTTGAATGTGCCTTTGAGACACCTTTTTTGTGTCCTTTCCAAGATGTATAGTTCTATTTAAGTGGAATGTATTACAATAGTTGCCCTTATTAAAGAAATCAGTGTCCTTAAAGAGGCTGGTTGCTACAGTTTCACTGTGCAGTTATCTAGGAAAGTGTTATGAATTACTAAAGTTTGCTTCTTGGCTGCTGTCTGAAGGCTAAATCAGATCAAATTTGACAGAGCAGTAGGAAACTAAAGCTATTTAGTTTCTAAAACTGTTTGGAAAACAGATCCCTGGAGAGAGATCTTATGCATGCCTCTTTGGGGAAAGATTGCAGGAGAAGTCATAGAATCTCTCTTAGTGGAAGCTCATTTGCAGATACAGGCTGGTGGGGGAAGTAAGTTTTTCATTGCTTGCAGAACAACCTATTTCAATGATCCATTTTTTCAAAAATAATACCCAGAGAATCCGTGAGTTCCTATCCTATAGAAAACAGTAATTAATGCATTGTTTTATAAGTGATATTACCATTCAATAAAGGTCCTATGTCATCAGTGGAAACAGAAATATTTTGCATTTTAATATAAAAATTACACAGAAGAGAGAGTCACCATTTCCTGAGTTGAATGTGCCTTTGAGACACCTTTTTTTGTGTCCTTTCCAAGATGTATAGTTCTATTTAAGTGGAATGTATTACAATAGTTGCCCTTATTAAAGAAATCAGTGTCCTTAAAGAGGCTGGTTGCTACAGTTTCACTGTGCAGTTATCTAGGAAAGTGTTATGAATTACTAAAGTTTGCTTCTTGGCTGCTGTCTAAAGGCTTCTGTACCACAAAATGTTTTGCTGTGTACTCCTGCCAGTAATGATGCAGACTTCAGTCAGACACCTTCTCTTGGCCATCTTTTTGAGAAAAGTAGGAAAGGGAATTTAAATGAGAAGAAAAGGATCTAGATTTAAGTGGATATACCAAATATTAGTACAAATGGCTGATATTAAAAATTCATTCACAAACCTCTATTTTTTTTGCCCAGTAGAGCTCTAAAACTATTTTCTTCAATTAAAGGCTTGGGAGTTTTCCCCTTCTCTAAAAGCAGCAGAGAAGACATCTTTGCTACAGTCCTAACCAGCAAAAAACCCTTGGAGAAAGCCATCCCATAGCAGGGACTTTGTTTTTTTGCAATTCCTCTCTTAGCAAAAAAACCATTGAGAAATACATACTAGGAGAGTTATGAGTGGTTTATAGTGCCTCAAAATAAATCCAGAGTGGTCATGAGCACTTCCTTCATCAGCACTCTGAATCCTTTCTGGCCATCCAAACCCTCATTCACTAATTTTTCTTGGCAGATACTTGATACCCTCTCCAGTAGAAACCATCCTTCTACCCAGCCTGCCTTTTGGCAGTGCCACAAATGGATCATTCTCAGAAAAACTGGGTATTTTATGTCAGATGTGGTTCCTTTCTGAGCTAATAGAAAGGTTGACTTCAGAGTAAAATTTAGAGAGTAAACCATACAACCTTCTTCCTTAACAGGAAACAGAAATTACTGGAAGTTTTCTTTATATGTACATATACACGAATCTAATCTCACACACATCCAGTTAAATGTGTTCAACAGTATTTTAAAACAGACATTATGTAAAAGCAAGTTATGAAATTGTATGTGTCAATGAATAGATATGCAGTAAAAATAGGGTTCTCAAGGTGTCTTATAAGACAATAATAATTTTTAATACGTCCTCCCCAAAGAGAATGTACAGCCAGATGCAAAGGGGGAAGAATAAAATAAAGGGGGAAATAAAGTCCAAACAAATCCTAGTCTAAATAATATGTGCATAATGACATAACAATACCATTATTCGAACAAAAAGAAGAACAAAATCAGCACACAACCCCAGCTATGTGGCAGCCCACAGCCTACAGCAAGAGCAGAGTGAAGGTGGCAGCCAGGCTGTTTCCTTTGGCTTAACAGCACTAAACTATGAACAAGAGCAGGATAAAGGGCGAAGCTCACACAGGAACATTGCTTTCTGGACTATCCAAAATCCAGCAAACCTCTTGAGGAAACCAAGAGCTGTAGGCAGGTCTTATTGTAAATATGTTTTCAGACACTTCAGTTTTCCAATGAAAAAAGGAAAAGGAAAGATGCATAAATTTTAGAGGAATACATTCTCAAAGATAAAGAAGAAAGACCTTAAAAAACACAAGAGAAAAATAAGACATTAGAAAAGAAATTACAGTAAGATATCTATATATATTTGTAATTTAAGCCAATGGTGGAGTATGAGAGTCCTAGCCACGAAATAGTATTCTCAAAAATAAAGAAAAAGGTTCTTTAAAAAAAAAAAAAAACCACAAGAGAAAAATAAGACATTAGAAAAGAAATTACAGTAAGATATCTATATATATTTGTAATTTAAAGCCAATGGTGAAGTATGAGAATCTTAGCCATGAAATAGTATTCTTAAAAATATACTATGTTAGCCAGCTGACGAGAGTCAGACTGACAGACACCTGGAATGTCAAAGGTATTCTAAGTTTGCTGATGACACTAGATTAGGAGATGCTCCTGGCTCCCTTGAACACAGAAGGCTCAACAGAGAGACTTTGACAAATCAGAGGCTGGAATGTCAAAGGTATTCTAAGTTTGCTGATGACACTAGATTAGGAGAAGCTCCTGACTCCCTTGAACGCAGAAGGCTCAGCAGAGAGACTGACAAATCAGAGATCTTGGAAATCACCAACCATATGAAGTTTAGCAAAGACAAGTGCTGGAA